AAAATTTTGAAATTCATTGTGATTTTGTAATTTCCAAGAGGTTTGTTAATTTTAAGGTGACACAAAATCTTTCATTTAAGATTATCCGTTCAAGGATAGAAGCATGTGATTAGATATTTTTTTCAATTTGAACAAAATTTTTTATATTAAGAAGAGATTTTGCAATTCAAGAAGGTAAATTTTTCGGCAATCTGATTCTTTGGAATAAAAAACACAATCGAATTTTTTAAATCAAATATGAGAAAGAATTTTGGATTTCTAGAACACAATGGAACCAAATCCACCAATCTAGGCTGAAATGTCATTTACGATTTTCTGTTATCAAAAAAATTTCTTTTTGAAAATTAAATCAACCGCAAGTTTAGGAATTGATATTTTTTAAAAATAAAGAATTCATTAATTTAATGGTATTAGCCGATTTTATGTTCAAAAGGCTTCGAATTACTTGTAAATACTAAAGTTATTTTTTATTATTAAACCAACCGTAATTTCTTTTTATAAAAATAATATGCAATTTGGTAATCTTATTTCTGTTAATAAATTCTTTAATTTGTGAAAATGAAAATGTTACAACCCGTTCTTGCGCAAATAAAATATTAACGATTTATAATTAGATTAGTTTTGTGTTATTTTTTTATATAAAAAATATAAAAAGAATATAATAAAAATATTGTATATTTTGATTATTAAATGAACTGTAATTTATTTTATTAAAAAACAAAAGCATCCGATTAAAACAATTGTAGTGGACGAGTTGATGTTAAAAGAGTTTATGATTTTTTGTAAATACTAACTTAAGTTTATATTATTATGTTAGGCGTAATTTATTTTTTTAGTAAAATAAAATTTGCAATGTTGTACACAATTATATGTTAAAGAATTTTTTTTTTTTTTTAATTTGTGAAAATGAAAAAGGAACAGCCTAATCTTGAACAAAAATAAATAACAAATTTCAGTTAACAAACTCCACATTTAAATGCAACAATTAATGATGCACATTTGTAAATAAAAAAATAAAATAAAAACTTGCTATTAATAGTATGCAATTAATGCTCAACCAAATTTGACCAAGTTTGACTTGCCATTTTTAAAAAATGGTAATTCTTTATATATATATATAGATTACATAAATTTTGACAAATGTCAATTATTTAAATGGATTGTGAACCACATAAGATATTTGCTAAGTTCACAACTTTAAATCTAAAAAATTATCTACAATGCACAATGTGATCAAACATAATATTGTCCATTTGGTAAAATAAAAAAATTATAAATAAGAAACAAAAATATTTAAATAAATTAGATATTTTGAAAAATGTAATAATATTTCTCTCTCATCTTTCAATTTTTTTTTTCTAAACGATAGAGATAACTATAAATAAGGCGCACAAAATGTGCAAAGGTACAACCCCTAGCTGAACTATGCAGCCAACAGCTGAAAAAATAGAGAGGACAGATCCGGAGATCGCCTAGAAACCGACACTAGCCAAGCTAGAATACAATCGGCACCACACAAAACAAAAACACAAAACACAAACTACAAAAGAAACGGCCCCCACGGGGTAATCAGAACCGAGGCCAACGGCCCAAACCTAAAACACGATACTACCTAACAAAACAACATGCACAATAATATAAACCTAAAGAAACACAAAAAGTCCTTCCCCAGCAGTCGAATAGACCCAACCAACAGTGAACAATCGACCCAAGAAAGATACCAAGCCCGAAGAAGCACTACCGAAACTGCCTAAAGCCTATACAGTAGCCTAAGCCGAGCCTCGAACCAATCTCGAATCGACCCATCAACAACCGAGAGGAAAACAAACCACCCTCACACTAACCCCGGCCCAAACCCGTCTAACACCACTAGATGAAGTCAAGTGAACCAGGGCCCTCGCCGCCTAACACCACTAGCCGGAAAGGGATGTAGAGGATTGCTCGGTACCTCAACCCCGACAGCTGCAACCTGAACAGCCACAACCCCCGGAGTCCCGCCCCGACCCCCGGCCCACGCACCTCCCCAATTCCCCAGCAAACCGCCACCGTCCAAAGCCCCGAACCACCGGAGGCTCCGCCAAACAACGAAAGCGACCCGTAATACCTCCGATTGACCAGCAAGAGGAAGGGCGAGGGTAACTTACCTCCAATTGAAGCCCGCGACGACCACGAACAGAGGAGCACCACCGTCCGGACATAAACTCGCCGGCAAACAGAAGAGGGATCTTCGAACGCAACACCTGTAGGGACCAGGAGATACGCGACCATAGGATCGGGCCGAACGGTCGGAGATGACCACTGGCCGGAGGCTAAGACGACGCCGAGGAAGACAGGCACTCGAGAAAGAGAGGCGGAGGTTTGGCGAGATTGAGGGTTAGGGTTCGGCGGAGTCTCATCTTTCAATTGGTTGATTGGAATGTGAAAGAGAATGTGGATGAACCACATTCCTCTCTACATTGTGGACATTAATTATGTCCACCTCAACACTACATTTGTCATTACATTGTGCATTGTAGTATTAAAAGTAGAGGCATTGCTTAATTAGTTAATATAAACTGTAATTTACTACAACTACATTGTACATTGGAGATGCTCTAACATTTTCACAAGAAAAAAATTGCAAGAACTCATCTTACCTATACACACATAAAAAAAAAAAAAACCACTACAAACTCCATAAATTTTTAATGGCCAATAAATTAAAATGAGGCCAAAACCGTTAACAATGAAGACGAAGCAAGATTAATATGCTACCGATCTTGTTGAACATCCCAATTTTAAGCACTCGAGCATAAGGTCATCCAAAAGAAGCTTCAATTTCAGAAAATTTGAGATCCGAAAGGTTCCAAGAAACCGACTCCCACGACAGCCGAATTTACCTCTCTCTCTCTCTCTCTCTCTCTCTCTCATCTCTTCTTTTTTAGAAATTACCTTTCATTTTCGGATCTATGAAGGTCCAGTTCGGTCAAGCTACGAGCGGTAGCGCAACGCATGAGGCCCGCACTGACGAAGGCTCTCAAAGGTTGATGCTTGCCTGACATGAGTGCGCGGTTGCTCGACCCAGCAGCGGTGTGAAAGTTGTGCGGTTGGCGGAAACTCGGCCATCAGTAGCACCGGTTGAAGTTTATGTATTTTTTAAGTTAATGTTGTTTAGATATGTCATATATTTTTAGAATCTCACTTTTTTTTTTAATGTCAAAGTGTATTATGTTTATCCCGTTTCATAGTTGTTTATATGTTGTTTATCTTATGTATAACTAAATTTTATTTGGATTTTGCAGTCATTCAAAATTGTGTGTTATGTTTTATCCCGTTTCAGAATTGTTTATATGTTGTTTATCTTATGTATAACTACACGGTTAATATTAGAGAACTGTCAGACCATGTTTATCTGATGTAGATATACAGTATATCTGAACTTATATTTGGTGGTTATATGCAATATACTTTGTGGTTTAAACTGCAACTCATGTAATATGAATACAAAGAAACAAAACCAAACATAAACACACACACACACACACACACACACACACAAAACATATTACCTTGATGATTTTAGTAAAAAGTTTATTTTAGGAGCAATATTTGATAAGCTCCGATCGTTTTTTTTTTAGTTTAATAATCGAAAATCCTCCAATCCACAATCCAAAATAAAAAATGAGGATGAATATCGTCTTCTTTGTTTTGTTTCACCATATCTTTTCACCAAAAACTAAAAAACATCATCTCCTTTATTTGACCCATACGCAGCTACACAGTTGAAGACTTGGCCCATATCCACGGCTTGACGGCGAGACTGTTATGTTGTTTATCTTATGTATAATTACATTTGATTTGGATTTTGCAATCATTCGGAATTGTGTATTATGTTTTTATCACGTTTCAGAATTGATAATATCTTGTTTATTTTATGTATAACTATACGGTTAATATTAGAGTATTTGTTGATCATGTTTATATATTGTATATATACAGTAATCTAAAATATATTTGGGTGTTGGACGATTCTTTTTCTCGAATTCAAGATGTCGAATAATCGTATGAAATTTTGAAATCTGATTTGTTATTTTTTTTTCGATTTTTCTTTCTTTGCTTGCAATTATTTAGCTATAAATTAATGCATGTTTAATATGGAGAGAGATAAAATTATGAGCAGGTGAGAAATCCCATATCCCTAAATTAATGCATGTTTAATATGGAGAGAGAGAGAGAAAATTATGAGGAGGTGAGAAATCCAATATCCCTAAATTAATGCATGTTTAATTTGGAGAGAGATAAAATTATGATAGGTGTGAGAAACTCATATCGTAGATATGAAAAAAAAAATTACATCAAAATTCCAATGTGATGAAAGTTTATATTGCCCGTATATATGTAAAAATTTATTATATGGGATCTATATATGTAAATTTCCCTTTTATGTTAGTTCTGAACTTATATGAGCTTGGACCTCGGTGAAGATTGTATTATCGGTTTTGTTGCAAATATTTACGTTAAAAATAAGTAATAGGATTATGATATTCATATAACTGGCTTGAGAATCTTGGTATGTATAATGCAGGACTGAGCACGAATTTTGGAGATTACCGAACCGTACCGAAAACCGAATTCAAATTCTTGAAAAATTTGGGCTCGGTTAGAATATTACTTTTGAATGGCTATGATTTACCAAGAATTTACATAACCATGAGCCCAAATTTGCCTAACATAAAATTTTACTTTTGAATTTTTTAACGGGTATTATTTAAATAAAAATAATAATACACTTTTTATTTTTTTATTTTTTTTTTCTAATTGAAATATAAAAAATTTAACTAAATTTGTGCAATATGTAATAATTTAAAAATAAATACATGAGCAGTTGGGGACAATACGTATATTTCGCTGATTTCAGGGGCATATTAACATAGAGTCTAAAAGTAAAGGGAGTGAAATTTAAGAAAATGGAAATCATATAGGATACGGGAGTATTTCGTTATTTGCAGTATTTCTCGCAAATGGCGTCTGTGGCGGCCACGGCCCGTTTAACGCTCTGTTCCGTCGGATTCGTCTCTCGTTCCTCCTCCGTTCGTGCTGTAATTACCTCTTTGCCGTTCGTGCCCAATCGATTTTCATCTCGCTGTATCAGAATCGACGCGGCCCGCCGCAAATCGACGCCGCGAAACAAGAGGTTTCTCAGCGTTCAGGCCGCGGGCTCCGGCCCGTATGGGTCCGATTTGGAGGAGGGCGTGAAGAAGACCGTTAGCGAGAACCCGGTTGTGGTCTACTCCAAAACGTGGTGTTCGTAAGTGCTAAAATCGAAATTTTTAGTTGTTCGTTCTCTTATTTTGCTCGGATTGAATCAAATGGGTTTTTTTTTTTTTGGGCAAGAAAGTTAGGTTCTTGATTGTATATCTTTCTGAGTTTCTGTTAGTTGAATTGTTCTGCGGTTCATAGGTACTCAATGCAGGTGAAGTATTTGTTTGAGAGTCTCGGGGTGGAGCCATTTGTTGTTGAATTGGACAAATTAGGTATGATTTGATCTGTTATTTATTTTTGTTCAGCACAAATTCTTGTATCAGCATAGTAGTTAGCCGATTTGACCCGTTATACATTTGTAACAAAATAATGTATGCTTATAGTATGAAATTACGTGCTTCTATTTGTGTTGTTTTTAAGAATATGGCATTTCGGTTTGAAAGTATGCATGTTTGTTGAAAATGTATGGCTCGACCCGATTAAGGTTATAGATTTTATATGCTAGTTCAATTAGATTTCAGTTGTATAATTTGACAAGTTTCTTGGCCCTGGAAATGACTAGAGAAGGATGTTGGTCACTAGGTGGGTTCTATTAGTAGTTTGCGATTGAATAAATGCATAGATTAGTGTTACACATAGTGTTGAGAAACTTTATATGCATTTTTCTTGTGGAAATTCGATATTCCCTTTACGTTTTCTTTCTCTATACTCTGTTGTTGTATTTGCACGGCAAGATGTTAAAATAATTAGTTGTAATTTGTGAAAAGCTCTTGTAAATGACAACTTTTGGCGAATTATTCCATCAATTGAGCCTCGGATCAAACAGACCCGAAAACAATAATGTAATTACTCACATCATGCCGTTTTGTTTGTTAGGATGTACAAAAGAACAATGCAGGAAGACATAGTAACTTGATTGGTAACTTTATAGTCGAATGAGTAGTTTTCTGATGTGTACTGTCTTTTTACATGAATTTTTTTGCCTTTTTTTCAGGTCAGCAAGGATCTGAACTGCAAAAGATTTTGGAATCGCTCACCGGGCAACGGACTGTTCCCAATGTATTTATAGGTAATGACCACAAAATTTGATTTTTCTTTCTTTGCATTCAAGAAATAATTCATCTTAGCCATGCATGTGGTTAATGATCCGTTCCCTCTTTTTTCCTTTATATATTTTATGTTCCAAAAGTATCTTTTGAAAACTGTAATATACAAAGTTTAATTATTCATTATTGGTTTTCTTCAATCTTTTCATTCTATAATCATTCTACGACTAATATTGATTTTCTCATGCAGGTGGCAAGCATATCGGTGGTTGTTCAGGTATCTCCTTAAGAACAATAGCATCTACTAATCTGTTTTAATGTTGTTATGAATTTGATGTAGAGCGTAGTACAATTGGGGAAGAAGAAGAGATACTCTCTCGAACTTGGATACTCTCTCGAAAGAACACTAACAATTTTAATTCATTCTTCAATTCTACCAATACAAAGCAGAATGAGCCTTTAAATAAGACTCTAACCCTAAACATAACTTATTTTCCAAGTTGCTACTACTACTAATAATAATAATAATAATAATAATAATAATAATAATAATAATAATAATAATAATAATAATAATACCATTCTCCCCCGGTGGAGCAGGATTCGGCCTCGAATCCGACCCGTTTTTTGTTGGAGAAGTGTGTCCCCCTCCGTCCTCAATCGAACACGAAGCTTGAAGAACGCCCAACAACACCGAAGGTAAACATAAGCTTGGGCAAGAAATGAGCTAATGCAAAGGCACATGTACATGCCTACATACGCATATCCCACACAGCATAATTAACATCAAACATACCACAACGGTCGCTGCGCTCAAATTCATAATTACGGCCAAGCATCCCGTTGGTTGGAAACATCGTGATAGACAGTTGGAAAATGGACCACCAATTATTAAGCCTCGTCTGCGGCTCCCAAAAACCATCGTTGGACAAGAAACGCCAGAAATTGGGTCCGACCGATAGTCGCCGAATCGAAGGTTCAACCTCTGCTACGTACCACACGGGACCCATATCGTCGCATATACACGACTCCGTCACCGAAGACTCCTTATCAAAAATCGGCGGACCGTCGTACATATCGCATGCGTCGGGCTCGAAATCCGGGGAATCTTCAAACTCGAAGTCAAAGCCTCCTTGTGGCTTTTCAGGCCCAAAATAAGCAGTAAAACCATCCATTTCCTCGTCCGAGTCCAGACCATCGCGGTCGAAACAGACCTCCCCGTCGGTCCCTTGGCCACCGCGCATCATCCCTCCGACGCGACGCCGAAATCCGCCATATCCGCCATGGTTGCCACGCGCTCGCCAGTCGTCGGCCCTGCTTGGAGGTTTGTCGAAAATATCACTCCACCGTAAGTCGTGGTCCTGATTTTGTTCCCTCGATATTTTGTCAGAAACATCACAGGTCAGCGGTGGCGGTGGCGGTGGTGATCGTCCGCCCCGCCATAAACTCGACCCCCACGACCTCCGCCCATCCCTCCGCGATGACCCCGGTCAGCCCCTTTGCGGTTTGTACGTACCTCGTTCATCATGGCACTCATAGAAACCCGTAATTCCTCGATCCCTGTAGAAAGTTCGACAATCCGATCATCCATACCTTGAATCCGATCGTCCACCTGTTGCAGTCGGTCGTCGATGGTAGGATCGTTAGTGTTTCCTCTCATTGGCAACATCGTGGAACGTACCTGGTCTTGGATACCAACTGATGTAGAGCGTAGTACAATTGGGGAAGAAGAGATACTCTTTCGAACTTGGGATACTCTCCCGAAAGAACACCTAACAATTTTAATTCATTCTCCAATTCTCTCAATACAAAACAGAATGAGCCTTTAAATAAGACTCTAACCCTAAACATAACTTATTTTCCAAGCTGCTGCTAATAATAATAATAATAATAATAATAATAATAATAATTTTAATCATATATATTCCCCATCAGATTTTAATAATCTTCACTAGAAAAATAACAACGGCTCGTTTCTGTAGAGTGTGGCTTTGCAGATATACGGATACATAGGATTAATTTGTCACCTTTGAACTTTTAGTGTCATAATATGATTTGCCAGAAACAGAGTTACCATGTCCAAAATACAGATTGGGAATGATTTAAAGAATTTGTTTTTGCTCGTATTGTGTACAGATACTATTGATCTACATCAAAATGGGAAGCTCGAGGCTTTGTTATCAGAAGCTGGAGCGAAGAAGTTGGACAGTTAGCACTCGGGACTAAATCTATTTTTTTTTTTTTTTTTTGGTTTCGTGTGAACGTATTGCATATGAAGTGTTCCGTTATCACGATTTTATGAAAATCATGAACATTCTTGCTTGTGGCAAGAAAGACATGTAGTCCATGTACAGGGTGTAAACGAGTTGAGCTCAAGCTCATGCTACTCGAGCTCGGCTCGGCTCGGCTTTACGAGCTCATTATTATGAGCTCGATTGGTTTATCAATATTAACGAGCCGAGTTCGAGCTCTAATGAGCTGGAATCAAGCATTAACGAGTCGAACTATAGAAAATTATGTAAATATATCATTTTTTCGAGCCGAGTCGAGCTCGACTCGTTAACAAAACGAGCTTTGAATGTGCTCACAAATGGCTTGTTTAGTTTAACCAGAGTTTAACTAGAAACGTGAATAAGAATTAAGATGATGTTAGATTGGGCAATTGGAAATTGATTGTTTAGGTTAATTTTGATTTATTGGATAAAGTGAGATTAGATGGAATAGGATATTTAATTAACTTTGAAATTGTGAATGAATATGAAATAAAATGCATAGATGAATATGAGATGAAATGTAAAAATGAAAGTTATGTGATATAATAGTAATAAAATAATAATTGTAAATGATTAATTGTTAAAAGTATGTAAATTGATGTATAGTAATTTTTTTTTAGAAAATGTATAGTAATGATTGGTTGATTAATTTATTATAATAGTTAATAATATCGATGATAGTTTAATCGGATTAGATGAATAGTGAAGTTTGAGTTAAATTTTATATTCAATGGTAGTTCCATAAAAAAAAATTCAGCAAGACAACAATTTTTTTTGCACACACGATCTCAAGCCTAGAAACACAAAAAACCGACTCTCTCTCCGCTGAAAGAAGAAAAAAATCATATCTATCTTTTTTTTCCGCTTCCCCTTCTCTCTCCTCCGGCCGGACACTGTGGCAAGCAAATCGCCCCATCTTCCTGTGTGTTTTTTGTCGGCCATGGACGGCGTCAGGCGGGTCGACTTCCTTTTAATTTCAGGGGGAATCGACTTCCCTCCGTGCTGTTTTAGGGGTGGATGAATGTCGGGTTTCGGTCGCCGTGTGCGATGTTGATGCTGACGTCCTTGTTCCCCCCGCCCCTTCGAGCTTTTTCATCTCTAGAGCCGACCCCTTGTCGCGTAGCGGCATGTTCTCTTCTGTTTCGATGGGTGGATTGTAGGTTACGGCCGTTGAGTGTGGATTGAAGGTGATCCCGTACATTGAAGACTTAGTCGGGGCTAAGGGTCTCAAATCTCGGTGTACTTTTTATGAGTTTTTCAGTTTTAATATAACTATCATTAAAAAAAAAAAAAAAACGATTTTTTTGTTCCAATCGTATCAGTAAATGCGGTACATACACCGGATGTAGAATTAATCCTTCATTGTTCTTGGCAAGATTGCAACACGAATTGCTGACTTTATAATTTTTACATATTAGTATTGGACATGAATGTACGTTCAATGAATGATGTGTCCGTTCAATGAATCTACTTCCTTCATGGAGGCTTTGAGATCTATAGATTGAGGCGATACACGTATGATATAATTTGGTAGGTTTAATATTGAGTCGGAACAACTATTCGAAAGTTTCATTACAAGATCAAAATTATTAGATTTTGAACAATTCAAATGTCCGGGTTTAATTGTTTCCCTCTATAAGGTTTTAAGTTATTCTTAAAGTTCAATTCAATATTTGATTTCTCAATGTAAGACTCAATGAACTTTATTTTACGATATAATTATGTGAACAAAAATAATATTTTTTTTTAGTTAATAACTTGCGTACTTATAATTAATTATAATAAATATTTTTAGTAAAATTATATCAACAGAAAAATGAATATAGGTAAGTTATATTTATGAAAAAGTTTAAGAAAGATTATTTTCAAACATGTTCAAATATAGTACTTATCTATAAATATGTAGTAGTACTTATCTCAAATCTATTTTATTCCTAAGTTTCTCCTTCTTCTAACTCTCCTATCTGCTCATGTGTTTCATCTTTCTCTTCCTATTTGTGCAGACTTTCTTTCAAATTCATATAAAAATCTAGAAAATATCAATACAAAAATACAGAAAAATCGAGTTCACAACCGTATCTTGTTTTGATAGAAAATATAATGAGAAGATGAATTCTAATCTATATTTATATTATTAATAAATTTTATTACTATTTATTTTATTAAACTAAAAAGTTGTATTTAAATTAACGCGTTTTTCTTTTCTAATTTTTATTACTCATATTAATTTGGAAATTGACAGATAAGGAAAGCTAAATTTATAGATTAATGAAGAGTACATTTGTTTAGAACCGGCTAAGATAATTTTTATCTTGTGTATCAAGATTGTATTGTACAGATGTGATGGGCACAATAGTTTGTTTTGTATAACTAGAATTTACTAGATATAATTGTGTTGTGTATTTGTTATGTATGATAATTGATAGAAAAAGTCGCAATTACCAATTTACCCTGTTTCAACAAGCTCATGCGTGTGTGCTTATTCGTTCGTTCACCTGATCAAGTATTGTTTCAAATTTTCGTCTCCATAAAAAAAATGTTTTGGGAAAAACAAATGTTAAAATAAATATCCACGTGGAATTTTTCTGATGTTAATGTCGTGTAGTGTTATTACCGTGCGCCCTGACATACCTAGCAAGATGTGTCAAGGCAATTTAAAATGAACATGTTGCATTACAAATGAACATATATAAATATATTTACAAATGTTCATTTTGTAACGCAACATGTTCATTTTAAAAAAGCCACTAAGTATTTGCGAATGTCGTGGGCCTCGTGGCTGCATACGATTCATCGAGAAGACGAACCGAATATAATATTATTTCCCAGCCCAAAAATAACAACCTCATAAAATACACTTTGCCCCATTTGCCGACTGCAGCCACCACCATACACTGCTGTTCGCCTGGCCATGTCCGCCGTGGCGCGGCTCTCCATTGTTTTAATCGACCGCCCCAATCGCAATCCGGCAATCAAATCCCTCGGATTTTCCCTCCACAGCCACCGGTACGCTGCCTCCGACCCTGTACAACGCCGGAAAAGTCGATGGTCGTCCGCCGCCGTCACCTGCTCCGCCTCAAACGGCCCGTCTTCCTCCGAGATCAGGTCCTTCTTTTTTTTTTTTGTTTCTTTTAATCTCGTACTGAACCTTTGAACTTTGAAGCTAGCTAGCATTTTTTAGTTATGACCGCCGTCGCCTCAATTTGAGTTAATTTTAGCATTTTAGTTTTGTATGAGTATCAATCGCCTCAATTTGGGTTTCACTGAGCATTACCGGAAAATGAATGAGTTGAAATTTAGGGATTTCATGTTTCTATTTACGCCGTCTAATACTTACTGAGAAAGTGAACCCTAGCTAATATTTTCAAGAGATCAATTAAATTCGCATCAAAATGAGCCCAATCACTTGAAAATTGAGATGTATGCTTACTCTGTTTGATAAGGGAAAATGTCCCATTAACTTGGGTAGTTGGGCATATGCTATCCATAGCAAATTTGCCGAAATCATCACTCTGTAGCATCAGACATTCAATGTGAATTTGATCCCGGAAAATGCGTTTAACCTTTAGTCCATCTTATACAGTCACGTGTAATCATACTATTTTTTGGTTTATTCGTTTTTTCAGTTCCACGGCCAAAATACGAAGTGAAGTCCTCTCTCCCTTCCGATCATTCCGCATGTTCTTTTACCTTGCATTTGTAGCAAGTGGGTCACTCGGAGGACTCATTGCCCTTTCCCAGCTGATCGGGGCCCTATCCAACCCGTCTAGGGCAGCCCAAGTACCCGAGATCCTCAACGGGTTAGGCATAGATTTGGGAGCTGTCTCCATTTTCGCGTTTCTTTATTACAGGGACAACAATGCTAAAAATGCTCAGCTGGCCAGACTCTCGAGAGAGGAGAGCCTCTCGAGCCTCAAGCTCCGTGTGGATGAGAAGAGGATCCTTCCCCTGAGTGCTTTCAGGGGGATTGCTCGTCTGGTTGTCCTCGCGGGGCCTGCCTCGTTTATCGAGGAGTCTTTCAGATTGAGCGAACCTTTCTCTGCAGGGCTTATCGAGAGAGGGGTTCTTGTTGTGCCGCTTGCTACCGATGGGAATTTGCCTGATTTCAAGTTGCAAGAAAATGGGGAGATTGATGTGAAGAGGAAAAGGCTGTGGCAGTTGACACCTGTGCTTGCTCCTGAATGGAACAAGTGAGTTTTTGTGTGTGTGTGTGTGTGTGGGTGTGTGTGTGTGTTTACTGTTTAAATGCCAAGCGGGTATTCTCCATCCGTCTCTGGGATCCAGTATTTCGTTGATCTGACATTTCTTTCTTTCCTGATCTTATTTGGGAGGCCACAAGAGAATGAATTTACCTAATTTGTTCTTTTGCATCAACTTACAACAGGTGGTTGGATGAACAAAAGAAACTGGCTAATGTCTCCCCTGAATCTCCAGTGTGAGTCCCCTTCATTTGGCTCGAATATATATGTTCACGGTAACTCAATTTTACCGATATTTTAGGTTAATTACAAAATGAAAATACCCTTGGAGTTTATTTAAAAAAAAAAAACCAACTGAGCTATCTTTCAAAATTACAAATACCTCCTTATGTTAAGTTTCTATTTTGTGAATTGTACCATATCTGATGATTGATATGCGATATATTGCTCGCAGTGTAGCAGTTTTTTCACGTGTATATATGTTTTTTTTTTTAAGAATGATCAGCTGATTGATAATTTTTTGTCCTTGCAACTACTTGTGAAGTTATTTGTCCCTGCGTATGGATGGACGTGTTCGGGGCAGTGGAGTTGGTTATCCACCTTGGAATGCTTTTGTTGTGCAATTGCCGCCCGTCAAGGGCATTTGGTCCGGTCTTCTTGATGGCATGGATGGAAGAGTTTTATGAGCATTGTAATCTGTACTTCACCTCAGACCGTATATATCAAAAGTTGAAATCATGCTACATTTTTACTCCATAGGGCAAAGCTTTATTGGTTTATTTAACCACATATTTTGCCTGCTGCATTTAGAAACTATAACAAGATGATGTAACAAAATTAGTGATCCAGTATACATATATATAAGCATGGTCCATTCATTGCAAAAAAAGTATGATACAGAACAGAACTTCCACACACTCAAGTGTATTCAACTAAAATGGATCATCAAAACATTGGAAAATACAAATTTCATTTGACAAAATGAACATAGGTATGGCTCATGTAACAACTTCTACTTCATCCAACGCGTAATTGTTCGTCGACACGTTTGCATAGTTCACCTTGTTGAACCTCACCACCACCGGGTACCGGGTTTTTGGGTCCTGCACCACCACCACCAAATAAGACGATACGCATGTAAGTTATAAGGAAAAATATCGAAATAAGCTTGATAGCTCGAGCTCGAATATCAAGAGCTACCAAAAAAAAAAATAAAAAAAATACACATGTTCCTCACCTGGTCAACGGCAACAACCGAGCCTACACCTTTGTACCAGTATGATTCCTTCCTCAAAATCCTTACCTGAGGTTTGTCCATCACAATCAAACACTTAACTTAAAAAGCTCTAATCAATTCACTAACAATTTATTTTAAGAGAGAATAAAAAAATGTTCTAATGTTAATAAATTCAAAATAAATGGTTTTACTCGCCTTCGAGCCCCTCGGCGGGCCAATCGGAGGCGGCTTGGCGGCCTTGGGGGCTTCGGCAGCAGGGGCTCCGGCGGTGGAGGCCGCTGGCGCCGGCGCCGCCGTCTCATCGGCGGCGGCGGCCGCCTGCACCACTAGCCTCGGGCTCCGGTTGATCCTGGAGGAGGAGGAGAAGAACACCATGCTGCTCTTGACGGCGGTCGAGCTGGATGGAACGTTCGGGGCCACCACAAATCCGCACGCGGCGGAGGCTATACTGCTGGTAGCCATTTTTTTTTTTTTTAGCTTGGTTGTGAATGTCTGGTGTGTTAAGGAGATAAATTTGATAAGGAAATATGAGGAGTATTTTTTAGAAGGCTTTGATTTGTGGGAATTATTTTTTATTACTATTATTATTATTATTTTTTTTTTCCTGGATTGAGATTACTGGGTGCCTATGATGCGGTTAGATTGTCCACTGAGATTGTGACACTTGGCTACCATATCCCATTTTTTGGATAATGTCATCACTTTTCTTTTGTCTAATATTAATTAATGAATAATTAAAACAAAATTTCCGACATGACATATTTATGTTTTTATATACCCAAAAAATTCTATGGAGCAATTGGATGATTTTCTTATGGAGCCATCAATCGCTTAATATATTGACACATGTCCAAATTGTATTTATTGTAGGACACATGTCAATACACTATTGGTGAATAATTGTGGATTGCTCCATAAGTCGAGTCATCCGATGGCTCCATAGCAAAACTGTTTATATACTATCCTTTGTTTAGGTCTGTGATTCGAACTGAATATGTATCATTTAATCTCGGTTTTGCTATGAAGCCATCAGTTGCTCTATAGTGGAGCCAACCTTCTATATACAATAAGTTAACCTACCATATTCTCTGCTTACTTAAATAACACTAATATAATTTTATAATTTTTTTTTTTCAAATATTTCTTCACTGTTTAGTAGTAGCTGCAAATAATGGTAGATTTTACCATGAGTAGGATTAATTGAGTTATGTTTTATTTTGTATCAATTGAAATAGTGCTATGAAACTAAAGATATAAATGGTTGATTTTATAAACTGTAAACTAACTAAAAGCAACTAAAATTGTAAATAACAAAATATAAATAAAATAATAAACAAGTAAATGAGACAAGTCAGCTCTTGATTAGTTATAGCTCAATTTAAGTCTAGTTTTAATTAGCACAATGAGTTTTATAAATTGCTACTGAATTACTAACTCTGAATAATAACATGTTTTCTTAAATTGACTTTAACTTCCATAATATTTAATTTAACCAATGCACACATGCTCTCGTCTTATTTTAACATAATAATCAGCCTAATCTTAAATATACATGACCCCCAATTTACTTCTAATTAACCAATTTATCATAATTATTGAGTATAGTTACGGATCGAACTAATAAATTATGAATAGTCGACGTAGCAAGCCCTAACTAATTCAAAATACACTGAAATTAGTGATTCTATTTTATCTTATGTGATAAAATAAAAAAGATATTCTTTCCTTGTTAGATTTATAATCGGGTCAAGAGAGTGCGGTCCTACGCAGATGAAGTGCACCATAAGAGGGTGAGCCTAGGTGCACATAGTGAGGTTCCATTTCAAAATCAATTGATGATACGACGAGTAGCCCATTAGGTATATAAGCCATGACCAATTTCACTATAAAATCATTGTGGAATAACTCACAAGTGATACTCCAACGTTCCTCGCAAAACCTCACATTCCAACCTAAGATATATCCTAGTTGTTATGGGACAATTGTCTATTCGCTCGTGGACTAGCTATATCAGTGTGAAATCATCTAAGAAACCTACAACATATATTGAAGCGTTATATCACACTGCATGCATGCACGTGTTTATGTGTTACATGTGTATTAATCCAACAATTTAAATTCGGTTGATTGAGCTATATTTTATAACAATATGTTGCATCGAGGGTTTTTCGATTCTCATATCGCAACAGGAAAATAAAATTTCGCAGTACATATTTTATTAGCTCAAACTATTTTCCATTAAAATAAAAAATAAGACGCACGACCCTATTTAATGTTCCATGCAAACAGACAAAGAAGATTACCTAATACGGTGTCGTTTTCACTGACCAAAACGACACCGTGTTTACTTAAAAAGACGCACAACTAAAAGATAAAGCGCAACGCGCTTTCAACAACAAAAGAAAAGAAAAAATAATAAAATGAAAAAGAAACAAAAGAAAGCAATTAAAACGGATTTCCTTCTTCTCATTATCTTCATCATCTCACTTTCAAATCTTCACCATCTTCAACACTCTCCTCTCAAGTTGGTCCATGATGAATATGAATCAGGCCCAACTTGCCAATCATGGTAGAGAATCGCTGGCCAGCAAGAACCTTAGTAAAGACATCAGCAAGTTGATGCACAATGAAAACATACTGAGGTATAATGAAGCCTTGCTTGAAGTTGTCACGGACAAGATGACAATCTATCTCGAGGTGTTTAGTCCTCTCATGAAACACCGGGTTTGCTGTGATGTGCATGGCAGCTCGGCTGTCACAACAAAGTGGAATAGGATAAACTAGTGACAGGTGAAAGTCTTGAGCAAGTAAGACAACCACATCAATTCTAAAACCGTAGACCCCATGGCTCTGTATTCGACTTCGGCAGATGAATTAGAGACTGTGTTATGTTTTTTACTCTTCCGAGAAACAAATGCATCCTCAATAAATACACAAAAACTAGTGATGGACCTCCTAATATCCTTACAAGTGGCCCAATCATCATCACAATAAGCTATTGTGAACTGACCTTTGTCTTTCTGCGGATAGCACCATTGAGAATGCTTTACTCACACTTGGCAATGGATCATACATCATGATCTATTTTTTCAAATGATCATAGCAATCATTCAGTCCCGCGAGGAACTATATCAGTTTATTATCATCATCATTTTGTGCCACTATTTTACCCTTTTCATAGTTACAAGCCTGAACAGGACTATATAGGAGTACTCATCCCAAAGTTTCTTCAATTTGTTGAAATTCCATAATCGATCTATTTCCCTGTGTTAAAGTACTAATTTCCCTTTGAAACTTGTACTTCATCGGATCATTACTCTCGCCATATCGTTGACAAATTTCGTCCTAAAGCTCCTTTGAAGTTTCAGCATAAACTAAGGTTTTTGCAATCTATTTAAACAGAGAATTCAAAATCAAAGTCAGAATCATCCAATCGACCTTTTTCCAGGCATCAAAATCATCATCATTAGGTTTGTGCTCAGGAATGTTTCCATTAATGAAACCTAGCATAATTTTAGCTTCATGCGCAATCATCATAGATCAACGCCATGAAAGAAAATTGCTACCAGTGAGGTGATTGAAAACTAACATCATACCAGGATTATCCGAACTATGCAGGAATAGCGGACCTTGATCATGCGAATTCGCACTCTGCTTAGAGAATCTACATTGGTGCGTTAATATGCCGTTTAAACGGGTCTTTCCATCATTTAAACCAATGTGGACGTTCATTTAATAGACAAAAATTGGAGGGCCCACTAGTTTCGTTCAATCCTCTTAACGTCAATGTAGAGTGTTGACATCATTTTCAGTAAACCGAATTAAGCGACGCTGACCACTTGATTATGTTCAGTAAAAGGATAATCGAAGTCGCATAAAGTAGGTGTTGCCTTTACGGATCTCAAGGTACTGGCGCTAATTTCAAGACAATCACTTGTCAGGTAGAAATTCATCAAGAACCGACATCGTCGTCGATTAATCGATACCTCATGTCGGTTATGACATGTCGGTTACTACATGTCGGATACGACATATCGGTTATAACTGCTCGAACCGATATCTATGACTCGCTAGACCGACACCACAAGGCGGTGCCAACTCAGCACAACTCATCATTACACCTGGCCAAGTGGCACGTTATTAAGATGAATGGCAATTAGCCGCCGTTGACTATTCTTGTGTAATGATTACATATTAGATAAATGTTGTAAATAAATATAAAAGGAGAAAACAGTTCTCCAAGCCAGCTAAGAGAGACACGCAGACAATAATATTCAAAAAAAAAAAAAAAATCTATCTCATTTCACCGTTCATACAAGCCTTTAATGATTTATCTTAAGTTTACTACAAATCCCTGTCGATTATATAGTTGTTAATTCTCGTTTGACAGCAGTTTGACGCTAGAGGAAGGGCGGGCATATCACGTTTTGAAGTTAACTTTCGCTGTTAAAGCCATTTTCACGCTCGAAGCCATTATGTCGCAGTCTGGTCGAGACCACATAACTCATCCTGGCCAGAGCCAATCGACTAACCATTCTCCGCGACGTGTAACACCACCTCCTCCGGTCACGAACATCACGAACTTTTTTCAAAACCCGGAGTTTATTCAAGGTTTAACCTCGTTGATAGCTCGAGCCATGCCCAGAAACTCGAATACGGTACCGTTATCGATGCCGTTAACCACTAATCCAACAGAACGTCCAACCCACACTCGTCATGACCCTGAAACACATGCGGCAGCATCCCATGCTACGTCGCAACCTCATCATACTTCTCCACGTCGAGAAGAGTTACCTCATGTAACTGCTAACCTAATACCGAACAATCAAGCCCCAGAGGACCCCCCTGTACAGGAAATGACTGCTGAAAGCCACTCTGCTCATCACCAAAGAATTTCGCCACGTCCTAGACGCGTTTCATCAGCGCCTCATGCTCGTGAAGATCTGCGGCACCATATTGAACGGAATCGTCTTTCAAGACATAGCGCGGAAGAAATTGAAACTCTTCGTAAACGCTTGGCTGAACTTGAGACTCGACAGAAGTCGCAGGAAGACTCTCCCCGACATGTCACGACGTCGGGAAATGTCATTATCGAAGCAGATTCACCTTTAGCTCCGGAACTTACTACGGAGGCGCTTCCTGTTAAGGTAAAAATCCCGCAAATCGGCATGTATGATGGGACATCGGATCCAGATGCCCACTTAGGCCATTATACATCCTGGATGGATTTGCATGGTGCTTCAGATGCTTTGAGATGTCGGATGTTTTCACTTACACTGGGGCCACGAGCACAAAAATGGTACTATACTCTCCCACCTCAATCAATTTGGAAATGGCAACAGTTACGTACGGCCTTCCGATCGCACTTTATCGGTGCTCAAATTTGCCTCATTCCGAAAGAATAAATTACCAACATTGTGCAAAAGGACGACGAGACTGTTAAAGACTACGTGTCTCGGTTC